CTAAAAATAGTGACGACCTCCTGGAAGCCTGGCATGGCCTCAGCCAGCACCTCAGCTCCCAGTGTCCAAATCGGCTGTCAGCGTCAGAGCAGCCAACAGCTGTGGTCAAGGGGACGAGGATGGCCCAGAACAGGCAATGACTGTGTGGCCAGGGAGGGTTCCTGAACACTTGGCTGCCCAGGCCATAAACCCAGGGCTCTTCCAAGTCAAGGATTGCTTGAGCCCAGAAGTTCGAGACAAGTCTGGGCAACATAGTGAGACTTGGTCTCTATGCAAAAATTTTAAAACTAGCTGGGCTTGGTGGTGGCATGTGCATGTAGTCCTAGCTACTTGACAGGCTGATGTTGGAGGATCACTTTGAGCCCAGGAGTTTGAGGCTGCAGTGAGTGGTGATATCACCCACTGTACTCCAGCCTGGCGATGGAACAATATCCTATCTCCAAAAAAAATTTTTAAAAACTGAGTAGACAGGTGTCCTGGTGGCATGATAGGTCCTGGGTGCCCTTCCAGATCTGTGATATTGGACAGGTGACTTTTCCTCTGGACCTCAGTGTCCCCATCTGAGTGGGAAAAGGTGGCTGGGAAGCAGATCTTCGAGTTGAAGCAGTGTAGAAGCCATGTCTGAAAAGCCATACTTGGGGCTCCAAGTCCAGCACACAGTCCTAGCAGGGCCCGGCGGGGCAGCCAGGGTGGCACAGGCATCAGGTTCTAACCTCCTTCCCTCTTTGCCCACTCTCAGACCAACGAGTTCATCTTCTCAGAGCTGCTGGCCAACCTGTACTAGCATGGGGATGAGAACACGCTGATGGAGGAGTCAGCAGAGCAGGCACAGCCGGGCGACAAGATGCTGCACATGTACCACATGCTGATGGAGGCACCCAGCATCATCGGTGACATCAACACGACCACTGTTAGCACACCCACAGGGGCTGGTGGATGACTCCTGGTTGCAGGTGCAGAGCGTCCCGGCCAGATGCAGGTACCAGCCTCCATGACTGAGCCTGGGGGCTGGAGCTTAGCTGGCTCTTATCCTGTGAAGCTGGCTGTGGCCACTAGGGGGCAGGGTCATGAACTCAGCCTGGAGGAGCCTGCGGGGCACCTGTCACTCTGGAGGGACAGACAGAACAGGCCACCCAGTGCAGATAGGCGAGAGAGGCAGGGGGGCCAAAGGGAAGATGCCTGGGGTGGATGGAAGTCAGTGTCCTTGGGTGCTGGTATCTGCCTTCCTGGCCACCGCTAGATCAGGCTTCTGAGCCTGTTGGCTGTCAGGGCCTCACTGTGCCCCATAGGTGCCATGGCAGCCCCCATGAAATCCACCAGGTGTCACCAGACAGCATATAAGTAACAGGCCTGGAAGGTCCCCAACAGCTGAGCTGGACATGCTCAGACACTCTGGGGCTCCTCGTTCAGTGGCACAAACTCCAGCACCCAGTGAGGGAAACGGGAACCCAGCAGGCTGAGCAGTATGGCTAAATCCATTTATTCCAAAATGAAAAGCAAAATAAACAGGAGTCGCATCACCAGGGAGCCACAACCCCATCCCGACCTCCTTCCTCTGTCCTGTGCTATCAATAAATAAGTTTCCCAGCCATGAATAATGATTAGAACCTTCTCCCCATATGCCAGCTCCAACCTCCACTAGGTATGATACAGGGGGCAGCCCTACCCCCCGGAATATACAAAATGTTACACAGATACTATATGTACACTGGGGAAGGGGGGTCACCCCAGCAGCCCGTGCCCTCGCCTGCTCTACAGTTAGCCCCACTGTCCCACCTCACCTGCCTCTCTGAATAAGAAGATGCGAGGCCCCCTGAGGGAAAAGTTGCTTTGGTGAGAGTAGGGAGGTCATCAGGCCTCCTCCAAACAAACCAGCTCCACCAGCCTCTGGCTCTTCAATAACAAACATCACCGTCCAGAAATTTAAGGACTCGGCCCTGGTCAAGATGGCAAAGGGTCTGTTTGTCTCCCTCCATTAGACGGGGTCTTGTCTTGCTACCCTAATGGTAAAGGGGTGACTGGGAAGGGGTGGTTGGTACATGGTGGGGGGCGAAGACTCTAGCCCCACTTCTCCAGGCTTATGCTGACAGGGGCTTGCTTTTATTTATTTTTATTTTTATCCCATGACTTTTAAAAAAATCTCATAACTTCTTATAACTTAAAAAAAAACTTTTCATAAAACTTTTTCTACTTTTTTGGCCGCTTTTCCACAGCATTTTTTATCCCATAACTGTTTCATCCCACAACTGTCTTAAATTCCCATAACTTCTTTTTAGTTTCTGTTCTTTTAATAAACATACTTGCATAGTTACAATTTTGTAAAAACAAAAGCCGATTATCTCATGCCAAGCGTGCCCAGCATTTGCACAGTCTCAATACATTTAATACCATAGTTTTGAAGACACACAAAATTTACGGCAAAAACAGCACTTTGCAAAAATTTCCTAATTTATTACATTACAGTAGCATCACAGTAGCAGTCAATAATTCCAGTTTACACAAAAGTTGTTCAGCATTTCCATTATACATTCTGTTGACAGGAATTCATAAATTGGTAAAAGTCATTCTAAGAAAACTCAGCAAATAAAGCTTGGCATTGGAATTGGCATTTCTTTCTCTACTTTTCCTTCCCCCAGGTTCTTTGCTTTAAACTACAGTATTCATATTTTAAGATGTTTTAACTTATTTTAAAACATTAACATAGCAGTTACATTTTTGAATAGTTATATCATCTTAAAGTGACTCTGTAAGATAAAGTTTTAGAGAAAATATTACGGATAGGGCTGATTTACATTTTCACATTTTCTAAAAATCAGCTTTAGTTTTAGAACTGATTTTTTTTTTTTCATTTCTGGAAAGCCTATCAGGTTTAATCAGATACTTTAAAAATAATGACCATATATTGCAATCTTTAAATAGGTATTTTGATTCTTTACTTCCTACAGAAATTCAGTTTTATTCAGTTGAACTCACATTTTAAAATTCTGTATTTCTGATGAACTCTAACCTTCTAATGTTGCCTTCTAAGCAGATTGAAAGTTGCCTTATACCGAATGAGGAAGAGAACAAATACTTGGTTGAATGAGGTATTGCAGAGACTGCATGCTTTGAAGAAACACTTAGGTTATTGTCATAGGATTTCCATTCTTTTTAGATTTTTCTGAAACATAGGACAAAATCCCTACACAAAGAGTGGTATTTAGAAACTGTACCACTGTTAATTACCCACACTATTTGGTCTGACAGTTTTTCTTTATCATTCTGAAACTGGGTTTATCCAATACATTGATAAATTCATACAATTTGAAAGAGTCAGTTGAAGGACCAATATTTGTACTCTTTCAGTGAATGCAGGCAAATCTGTTATTTCATCTGTAA